ATATAGAAAATAAAATTAACAGTGCATTGGATCCAGACTTCTACATGTAGCACTGAAATATGTTGAGCTGTTCTCAAATTAAATAATCAGATCTCAGAATTTCAAAATGGTAAACAAATTCACTGGTTGAAAAATGTTAAAATTCAAGGGTCTAAAATTGGTTGTCTCCCTCCAAATTTTGGAGTGTTGGCAAGTATGGAAACTGCATTGTATAAGGTATCCTTTAGATATATATCATACCATGCAATTGTTCAGAAATCATGCATGTTTTGCATTCCCACCATATAAAGTTTAGAGCAGGAAATGTGTTCATTTTTTTCGATAATGTCTTTACATGTAGTAAAGGAACCATGTAAAGCCGAATGTAATATGTGTTAAGTTCAGAGTAACAGATAACTGAAATATCCAAATGATTTGATGTACATTATAACAAATGATAATATATTCTTATTTGAATAGTGCATAATAATCATATTGCTGAAGTAAAGTGCACTGGTAAAATTTTAGACTAATGGTATTGATCTAAACATAATTCATGCTTTATCAATTGTACAGACATTAAATGGAAGAAATGAGCATTTGTACAAAGAAAAAATGCATTACACATCATGTCTTCAAAGGGGGGGGGGAAAAATAAGAAATATTAAAATGAATTATTTTGGTATTGAATGAAAAGTGATAGTTTATTATTTAGCCATTTTGTTTTACTTTTGGCCTACCCTTAGGTGTTCGGTACCTTGCTTTCTGAAACCATCTAATTTCAATTTTATCATAATTATTCCAACCAAATTTTAATTATTTCCTGCTGAATGTGGACAAATTGTAACCGAAAGAGTTTTTTCCTTTACATTTCCTTACAATTGTTTAAGTAAAAGTAAACTTCAAGAAAAAACTAGAATAAAAATAACAATTCAGATCAAGCACATGTGACCTTTTCATCCATGTGGAAAATATGATTCTAGTACATCTTAGTTCAAGGAACAATACTTTTGAAATTTTAGCCAGTTTTTCCATTTTTTGTCCTCCAGCTTCAGGAGGGAGGCAGGATCCTATTTTCTCATAACACCAACCGATACGAAGTGCCATCGCATCATTATTTTTCCAACCAAATTTGATTTTTTTTTCTGCTGAAAATGGACAAAATATACCAAAAGTGTTATTTCCCTGTATAAAGTCTAGTAAACTTTACCCCAGCTTCCCAAAGGGAGAACTGATAACTAGGAGTTAATGGGGAGGTCATAGGGCTTTCAAACAAGATGGACGTGTTTCAACATCGCTCCGACAATAAGGACTATAAATGAATATATATGTGTTTTCAAGGACAGTGAGATGTACTTGAGATGAACACATCTAAAGCGTAGTATTTGGCGACCCAAGCAGTGAGTAAAATACCGAAAAAAAACCTTCATATTACTCCAACAAAGAATGTTTTAATTTTGACTTTGTGTACGTAAACGAGTATATTGCCCGTGCGTGACGGAGTAGTCACAGCGTTATAAAACACGAGTAAGCATGCCAGCAGGAGCCAACCTAGATAAAAAAACGTAAAAATATTTCAACGTCTAGTTCGGACAGGAGTTTTGAAGAAAAAAACCCTTTGAAAGACGGTAAAATAGGTTCAAAAATACTTTCGAAAAAGACAAAGTTCGCACAAACGACGATTTCCGCCATTACAATGGAGGCCCAACTAAAGCTAATGAATGAGGAATTTAAGAAAAAATGTCGCTTATGCAACAACAAGTGGGCTCTATCGACCAAAAACTGTCTACTTTAGTGACAAAAGAAGAAATGAAGGCAAATTTTGACAAAATGGCGACAAAGAAAGATTTAGCACAGGCCATAGAGACAGTCAAGGACGAAATCATGGATAAAATGGCGGAACGTATAGATCAACTTAAATCAAATGTTTTCGACTTAGAGGGGGAAAACGAAGAAATGCACAACATAATAATACAACTAGAAAAGAGAGTAGACGGGACAAAAAGCGACATCGGAGAGGTGGGATACATTGCAGAAAAAACGAACTACGACATAAATGAACTGGAGCAGTATTTGGATTAGAAGATCACGAAACAGAACGGATGGAAGACACGTGTTCAAAAGTGGTAAAACTTCTAGCAGATAAGGTGAAAATGGACGTCACGGACAAAGATATAGATATTGCCCATCGCATCGGAATATTCAGGAACACTCAAAGTAGACCGGTGATTGTTAAATTCATGTGTAGACGAAAGAAAATCGAAAGTGTGGAGAAAAGGAAAAACCTCAGAGGCTCAAGGTATGTGATAAGAGAGGATTTAAGTCGTGAGAACCAATATCTCGTAAGAATATGTCAGTTAGACCAAAGAATTGCAGAAACTTGGGTACAGAACGGCAAAATTTTGGCGCGCCACAAATCTAATAACACTGTTCACCGGGTTTACCCGGGTTTTGATGTGGACAAACTCTGAACCTCTCCTGAATTGTTAGATCTATTAGAATGGACAAAGCCAATATTATTTTTCACGTGAGATGTTAATTGAAGAACTTTATACAAACTGCATGTCTTATGTAAGTTTCAAAGATTTCATTGTTTAGGTTATGTTTTGTCTCTCGACATGTCTTTGCTTTGTGTGAAAAAAAATATATAAAAAAAATCAAGTTGTATTTACAAATGCACCGATGAGAGAAACATAGATATTTTAGTTAAATCCAAACATGTGTGTAATATATTCCTTTGCAATGAAAGCTTTGCACATGATTTTTTATGGTACTTCAAAATATTTATTGTATACCGAGATTGCCCCTGACAAGCAATGTGTGTAATATACCTGTGTTACGTGCATAACAATTTACACCTGTAAACGCCCTAATGTAATGCAGGCAGTTTTTTTTCTGTTTTACCATTTTGTACTGAATGAGATGCTTCAGTCTCATATATACATATTTCCACCAATAGAAATGTTAGTAATTGTATTTTTACCTTCTTTGGTTATTATGAGACGACCCAAAACAATAATGCACACGTACGTGTTTTATGTTCGAGTTATTGCAATCTAATTAAAATGATATCTTCACATCGCTCCCGTTTACTGATATGTCGCGTTGAAGATCTAACAACATCCCGTAGAGGGTCATGTTCAGGCGACCTTTGCATTAACCAATCAGATGAGAGCTTACGCATTTCTGTAAGTGATGATGTAAGGATTTCGGACCACACTTGCTATACTAAAAGACCGAGAGGTGTCAAATGAGCATCGAAAATGGCGGCGCCCATGACACCACGCCGTGTCTATCTACAAGACAA